CTTGGCTAAAATATCAAAAAGCTTACTAAATAAGGTAAACAGAAAATTAAAAAGTGTTCCTAATAGGTGCTACTTCAGTGAATATTCATATGCTTATTCTTATTACCTATATAAGCTTTAGCTTGTCTAAAATTAGCCTTGTCTATAGTCAAACCTCTAATTGTACTTTAGACAATTGTACTAATTGTACTTGCAGTCCTTACCCTAGCTTCTCAATGCATCTTTTTTGAATTTTCAAAAATGGTTCCCACCGTGTGACATTCTCTTGCCTGTTCTTCTCCTAACCAAACTACAGTCAAGCAAATACAAGCAATTCTATACTATCCTATCATTAAACAGCTTTAAGCCTACAATACTCTACACTATCTAAAAGCCACCACCAAAATCGCACTTCTTGTCATCTACCACACCACTCCCTAGCTTTGCTTTCCCTTCACACTGACATCAAATTGCAACTCCCCACCTTCACCCTCATTGGAAGCTCTGAACAATACTGCCCCCCTGCCTGTATCTCTACTTGTATCTCTTTCTAAACACTCCGGTGGGTTCTCCTCACACTTCTGCTTTCCAATTTTCTTTCATGCTTCCCCTGATCTTGAAGCACCCTCTTCAGCATACCACCTCAATTGGAAAGCAACAAGGGTCAGATCCTGCTCTCATTCAAATCAATGGCAAAACTCCTATGGATTTCAATAGGATGAGAATATCACCACAAGTTCTAATGTAAACTTAAATATAGCATTGAACCCAAACTGCTTTGAGATTAGCTCCATTATTTGGCATGTCACTACAGTGCTGTTGAATTACTTCTCTAAGCCTGTAAACATGCACCTGAGCAGCTTTATGACATGTAAGCAGTCTCCTTGAATTCACTGGAATGGTTTTGCATGTGCAAATTACTCTTGGGCATTTTCAGAATTAGGGCCTTAGACTGTATGTTGTTTGAAACTCTATGTTCTTTATGGGATCAAACACTTTAATAATACCTAATAGATAAAAATAGAGGAACAGAGTTTTAGGCCAAGATTTTCCATACCACATAAGGGACTACTGCCTATTCATTTCAGTGGGAGTTGTGCAACAGTTTCAGGGTCATTGTGTTACTGTGATTATTTTTTACATGAGCTATTCACACATTATTATGTGGTTGGTAGAGCTATTAATGCATGCACTATATTACATGAAATCTGGAGGACACACTAGGCAATTAACTAATATATACACAGTGTCCACTGAAAACATAGTAAGTATTATAAAGCTGCATACTGCAGCGGTATCAAAACCTTGCTACTGCTAGTAGATTGTACTCCAGTTATAGTTAAGGATGTTTAAGTGGCTCTAATTGAAAGAATATTTTTTTAATTTCTCAGAAATGTTCCATATCTGCTCTCTGTCTGAAGGTAGAAAGATTGCAAAAAATCACACTGAGAAATATGAGAGTTCTTTTGCATAATAAAAATTATTCCTGCAACTTTTTTTAAACAGCACTATTTCCTCAGCAAACTGGGGAAGAAGGCTAGTATTTGTAAAAAAGGGAAATCCTCAGTGACAAGTGACCTAAGGGAAGCTGGATTTTTTTTTTAGTTGGCTAAGTAATAACTGCTTAGTGTAGTTTATATATGCAAGGTACATTGTTTTAAAGTTCAATAGGAGTCAATTACCCAGGAAGTCAATTAATAGGAAGGTTTTATATTAACAAAACCATTGACCTGCAGTTGGATTTTGCTTATCAATGAGACAACTGTGCATTGCTTGTTTACTGTGCACTGCTTTGTAATTTTAAAACATCACTTGGAACAATACATTTTATTTCTCGCTGCTTTTAGTATCAGCATTTCATACAATGGTGTTTGCTTATCCAGAAAGTGATTATCTAGATTAGAATAATGGTGACACTAATTATTCCAGATGATTGACTTTCTCCTATATTGTTCTTAAAAATTTCCCAACATTACAAAGGAAGGGATCTGACCTAAACTTTATTATGTTGTATTTTGTGTCACCTTAACTCCCAGGCTCATCCTATAAAATCAGCAGGGAAGTATATCATGTACAGAGGCTGCTCCTTTGTCCTTACCTCCTCCAATCTGCTGTAACCCCTTGCAACCTAACATGAGGTAGTCCCCAGACAGGAATTCCCTGGAGGCAACAGGAACTTGCTGAAGACTCGATGCCTCTATGGATGTCACTCCTCTTCATCCTGTCCCACTGTCTCATTCCCTATCATTAGGAAAACTGATGGGTTAGATCTGATCCTGTCATTCTGCATTCAGTATCCAGCTGCTATGGCTGTGTGCATGGAATCTAGTCAGAGGCATAATGAGCTCCTGAAGTACCCTGGGCAGAGTGCTGACCACTGAAGGGAGGGGGAGTGTGGGGGGGCAGTGGTCAGAGGACTTACCTGCCCCAGCTCTGTCTATACTTTACAACAGCTGAGGAATAAGCTCCTTGTATACCAGATGCAGCAGGGGGCACCAGAATACCCCCACCCCAATTGGGTAATATTTGCTAGAGCAGGTACAGCCCAGCCATGGATGTCATGCATCCCTGCGCCCAGTAATGTCTTTGGCAATCCCTTGCAGTCAAGAATGATTGTCTTTGATGATTGTCTTATCTGGGGGTCTAAAAATGGAAGACAAGATCTAGGGTGGGTGACTCTGGATTCTTGATTTGATCCATGATACACAGTTTTTGCTGCTCCCATTTTTCCATCTCCTGTTGTCATTGTAAGGTTTCAAAGTACTGAG